CATTATGATGGCAATATTTTTTTTTAGATGCTCAAACTTTTCATACCTGATCTTTGACCAAACACTGATTGTCTCATCCAAGTTGTATTAAAAACTTCATCTAAATCACTGTCATCATGCGAATCAAACAACGGACTAGCTCGATTCGAATATAACGTTTCATTCTAACGAACCACGAAATGAACTGGATTCTTATATAAAATTTCATCCAAGTCAACCATCGGACTAGCCATGTTTTCATAAAGATTCTGCTCCGAGTTATTGCCGTGATTAGCAAATGGGTTATTCATGTTCAAATATAAAGTCTGATCAGGGTAATTTTATTGATAAGAATATTAACTCTATGGCTGTTCGTAAATGAAAATTTGCGAGTAAAAATATGATCCTATTAAAAGAGATTTCAATATAATTTTATTTAAATTCATGAATTCACATGTTTATTGTTAAAGCAAAATGAACAATTCGAATGTCAACAAACATTGTCGGCACTTACCGTGAATATATTGTATCTTGCAGTTAAAATGAATAATGATGTTGCCTGTTAGTGTCCCATTTTTATGTAGTTGTCCGTCAAGAAATTTTCAACAATCAAGTTTGAATTAAAAAAAATCTCCTTCATTGAGATTTCATCTGCATGAATAAAATCATGAACATGAGTCAGTCAAAATCGATGTTACCTTTAGTTGGTTTTTTCATATGAATAATATGGGAGATAACAAAAAATGATAATGTATTTTAAAGCATATGTCTGTAGCACTTAATATAATTGTTTCGTTCGCTTGTATCTACGTACAATTTACCTGCATCGATAATGTACTACATCTGTTTTCTTATAAACTTACATTAATAGAAATTTGAAACAACGTACAACCGTCGAACAATATAGGTGAAGCTGAATTTTACTTATCGATGTTTTTACAACCTTCTCGGAGATCCGTCACAATTGTTCAACTTAATAAGTACTTCGCAATTGATAATTTCATAAAATTGTACAGAGCTTTGCTGTGTATGGAATGACAAATTTCTTAGCAATTCAAGAAATCTGCGACATTTTGAAAATCTGAATTTTGGATTACATGAAATTTTACTTTCATCCATTATTTGCTATGCTCACTTTGTTGTAACTAGAAAATGTATTTAATAATGAATTGTTTCATGCATTTCTTTTTTGCCAAATTTGTAATTGATAAGCATACATACAATGCACATCAGAAGTTCCAAAATATGTCAAAAGAGTAATTTGATTGAGAACATTTTTCGTCAGAAACACAGCTATAAGAATTCTTTATAAGTATTAAGCTGCGTCCGATAAATAGCAACAGAAGCCGTATTATTCTTCTAGAGGTTCCAAATAAGCTTTTCTTTACGTCTCTCTACAGAATTATTATTAATCTGGGAATGAAGACAAAATTCACACCTTATACCCTCCAGTAGATTTCTCTCTTATACTCTATTCATTAATTATTACATGAAATCAGCGGCGTAACCAGGACTTTAAGACCAACGGACGAACTTCTCTTGTTTCGAGAAAAACTGTTGGACGAAATGGACGAGGCTTTTATTGATGGGCTAAAACGTTTTTGGTCGAACAAAGTGCTAATGACGGAAAGAATTCATGCATAAGTTAATGTTGAGGATTTTTCCAATACCTATCTGTGCAGCACACATGAACAATTGCCCTATGAACTAGGTCATTTCACGTCTCGGTTTTTTCCTTTATGTTTTCACATATACGCCATTGGATTTTTCCTTTCTCGTCAATGCGTCACTCTATATTTATATGTATCTACATATATGTATGTTCTTGTGTGTTCTCTTATCTTTGATCTATCCTTCTCAACCTTTACATGGCTAGGATTTTCCTAATTAAACAGAACTCATATTTACCCAAACTTACAGTTAAAATCAGGGTTGCATGATTTTCTGAAAAGTTAGGAAAGTTTCTGAAACTTGAACATTTTTGCGATTTTTTTCTGACCTTCTTATTTTTTTGATTTAGCTACTCTTTACTGATTTCTTGCCGATTTCAAACGTTTTTAGACGATGACTTTACTAGAGAAATTGATTATGACTATAACTCATTAATAATATAGATCTGTATGGTGCTACCTTCTTTACTTTCTTAATCTTTGGTAGTTTCTGAGCTCTACAACCACTGACGAATATTTTAATATATCAGTGAATTTTTGTGTTGCTGAACTTAAAAATAAATGCTAATTTTTTGTTTTCAACGATTTTGTAAACATATTTTAGCTCCAAAACATTTATGGAAGGAATTTCAAACAAAGAAAAACTCGAAAAATAATATGGAATTTATATTCTATAACCTTTATTATTTTTCGTAAGATTTTTTTGATTTGCATTGTTTATATATGTGATTTGTTTGCGCATAATTTCGTAAACAGAGTGTTGGACTTCATAAACGATTCCGACAATAGGTGGCTTTTGCTAGCTGTTTTGTATTGACTAACAATTGGAAGCCATATAACTTCAAATTAAGGCAATTGTTCATAGTCGAATCAAATGAATGCTCTCACTCACAGACCAACTAGTTTAAAACATGAGCTGCCAATAATGTACACAGATCGAGATGTTTAAATTTCAAGATATTTACAGTTTGTCATGTGCTCACACTATGAAATTTCATCAATCTTAAGTTTTTTTTCGTGATGGTTGGACGGAAAGCGACTATTTACATAAGGATAAACAATACTACGCATATTCAAAAGCAATTTGACAGCAATTCGAGTTTTTTGTTCATTACACTTGTAGTTAAAAAAACGCTGTCTTAGACTTCTTCAAATTTGCTTTTTAATATGCGTGATATTGTTTTTTCCCATGTAAATGATCGTGCTGCATCCAACCATGGTGAACAAAGAAAAATAAGTGTTGATGAAATTTCGTAGTGTGGGCACATACCAAACTGTACATTTCTTGAAATTCGAGTATGTCGGTCTGTGTACGCTCTTGCCAGCTCATATTTTTAATTAGCTGGTTTGACAGTGAGAGCATTCATTTGATTCAACTATGATCAATTGTCTTGACTTGCCCTACATGATCTTTTACTCTAAGCTATATAATGTTTCTGTTGTCTTTCTTTACTATGAAATACTTTTCGAAATAAAGTATGAGTCAATAAACAAAAAAAGTGAAACAGTTTGTGTAAGTATATCAACATGATACCTCTTGGTTTGCAGAAAGTTACTCTTTCTAATTAGTTGCCGATTTTGGAGAAACAATTCTGATTTTCTTCTGATTTTGAAAATAAGAACTTCTGACTTTTAAGTTGTTCACTTGACAACCCTGATGCACACATTTTATTAAAATTTAAAATTACGAAAAATACAAAAAATAAAGTAGAAAAAATGGATGAAAAGAGTGAAAGAGACAACTAACTACTAACTAGGTGACGTTCGACGATACTTGATAGGAACGTTCGATTTTGATGCAGTGTCTGTTCCATAATTTCTACAAAGAAAAAATAGTGAATTAATTCAGTACCATCAAATAATCAAAGAGATAAGCACAAAAAAGAATGTTGGGATAATGGAATAAAATCCAAGGATATTCTCTCCATGAGTTATCATCTAAACATTAAATTTAGGAGAGTGAGCAGTAGGAAAAAGATATGAAAATAAAGAGATAACTGCTGCAAAAAGCATATTTTTTTATATATATATTTATTTCAAACAGAAATAAAAGGTTTCAAGCTTTCGTGTTACATTCAGTGACACATCATCAGGAAACATTGTGAAAGGTTTCAATGAAGAGTTTACAATAAATGTGAAATGTTAATGTTATGTTGTCTGTGAGTATATTTGAGATGAATTGATAGTATAAATACGAGGACGTAATTGTTCAAGTATTTGTTGTATTTAATTGATTGGATTCTTCGATTAAACATTGATTTAATTGAGATGATTTGAAGGTGTGGGTGTGGGTGGGTGTGGGTGTGGGTGTGGGTGTGGATGGGTGTGGGTGTACGTGTGGGTAAGAGGGAATACTAGACTCATATCCGCACCCCCACACCCTATACTTATTAATCAATCGAAAGATTGGAAATTATTGATTAATGTAGAACGTCAACGTATTAATGAAGCTAAAAATATAATTGAAAATCATGAAAAAGATTTAAGATTTTTTGCTGCATCAATTTCTCTCGGTTGACTTTATCAAAAACAATACCATTTCCACAATAAGTATGGAACAAAAGAAATCTCTGTCTCTACTATCGAAAGTGAAGAAGTTCATTTTGCAATTAAGAATATATTCAATCCAATTTTACAAATTATTCCTTTGAGTACTATTTTAGATATGAAAAATCCATCTTTTTAAGGAAGAACAAAGAGATCAATTGAAATTGGATATGATTACTCAATTAGAGTCTTTATTACCACATCTCTCATTATTAATGTCAACCCTTTTATTTATTAAATGCCATATAATTTGTCAAACATTTCCAGTAAATTTCAAACGCATGGTTCATTTAATCGGTGAAAAGTTGAATGAAACTTTGATTAATAAACAAACTAAAGAACAAGAAACAGCTTTCATCGCATTGCGAGAAATCAATAATTTGGATTTTTCACATTATCTAACAATATTTGCACAACGAATGGAAAATTTATCTAATCTTCTTCATTTCAATTCTACTATGTTTTTTGAATATTTTATTAAATATACCATCATTTAGTTCATCAAATATTATTCTTCTATCATCGATGTATCTAACTGAATTGGCATTTGATACTCAAATTTTAAAAATGTATACAAATGAGAATGAAAAAATTCTAATGGATCCTCTAAAAGAACTGAAAAAATTATGGAACGACACATCAAAATTTTCAAAAATAGTAACTTTTGAAGTTGCAACATGGATTACAAATTCTTTGCAAATGTCAAATAAAAAAGAATTTCATCAAATTAGTATAGAAATATTTTTATGTACTGAAATTGAAAGAAGAACTCTGCCAATAATTGAGAAATGATTAAACTATCGAATGGATAAGAGTTTAAGACATTTTGCTTATTATGCTGCATTGATATTAGTTATAGAAGGTTCAGATCTTCCTTATTTAATCGAAGTCATTAATGAAATATTTGTTAATGACAATGGATTTTACTTGAAAATTATCATTCAAAGTCTATTTATTCGACAACCTTCAAATCCAACAATTGTTCGACAAATTTTCATTAGTCTACATAAAAATATTCGTTATTTTACACAACCTTCTGTTTGGACTAATTGTAAAGAGATATTAGAATTAATATTTACTTTAGAAATCGAACAAATAACTTCAAACATTCAAAATACATCTATTAAAATAACTAAATCATATTTAATGATGATTCAAAATTGTACTGAAGATTTGGAAGTTTTTCTTAAACAATATTTAATTGAATTTATCAATGTAGAAAATAATTTTCAGCATAATATTAAAGAAGAACATATTGCAGTGATTGCCAAATGGATAATCGAAATGTCAATTGGTCTTTTTAATCCAATTAAATTTTCGATTTTTACATTTATTCATAATCAACAATTTCCTCGAGTTCAAAATGCAACTTTTAAGGCTCTGAATTCGATATTTATTTATCATCTTCCACGAAAAGAACATATTATATAATTATTCATTTAGAAAAAGTTATTTATTCTTGGAATACATATCCCGAAGATATTTTAGCTGTTTGTTTATTAGCTTATGATAGTTGTCTATTTAAATTACAAGAATTTAAAAGAAATTAAAACATTTCAGATGAGATCATAATGTGCTTACTATTCTTTTTAATACATCATCATCAGAACTTATATCTATTAGAGCTGCTTTGTGTTTAATATTCGCTCATGATTCAAATATAATATTTAGTAAAATACCAAATTGGTTTGAAAATAGACAAGATATAAAGTACAATTACAGTTAACTTTATATCGGAAATGAAAGGATTTATATCTTCGAGACATAGAAGTAATTATTCAATTAATCGATATATTTATCATCGATCTTTATGATTATTTATGTAACAAAGAAAACATTGATTATATTGCTGAACCAAAACCTAATTATATTAAAGTAGCATTGAAATTTTGTGAAACTAATCTTGATATATTTCGTAATACTGTTCAAAATAGTTCATTTGGTGAAGAGAAGTTTAAAAAAGAATTTTCTCTTTATTTCTATCAAACAAATAATTCAACTGAACGTAAGATTTTAATCCAACTGTATACTGCATTTTATGGACTTACTGATGATCTTATTGATATGATCCAACGGATTGAATATGTTGACAATGATGATGGATGGAAGTATCTTGAACATATTAAACAAGTATCGAATAGAGATATTATTGAAAAAATATTCGAATGTTTAGATTCAATATCATGTTATATCAAATCTCGATGTTTTTCTTCTATATTGAAATTACTTATTCGATTTGCTCAAACCGATATCGTATCTTTATTAGAAATACATCAACATATATCGCCTTTCATCAACAATTTTTTATGTAAGGATGATGATAGAACATGGAATGATAAGAAAGATATTTTTGAATTTGTATTAAATCTAAGTTGTATTAGAAAAATATCTTTACCACATTCGAAGGAAAAATTGTTTACTGAGAATGATATTGTCGAGAAATTTAAGGAAGAAATTCGGTATATTAACAAGAAATCAGCTTTATTTCTTAGAAGAAATTATTTTTTTAAACATATATTGATCAATTTTGAGTTGTTCTTAATAAAAAGATTATTCTATTCTTCTATCAAACTCTTGCACCACCACTTACTTTTTTCTATATTAAATATTTATCGCTTATTGAGAGATATCTTTTCGTTTTCATGTACTATTTATGATTTGTTTAACATATTTTGAGCAAATAAAAACATTTTTTGTGTTTTTCTATTTATAATCAATAAAATTTGTGATTATTTAGTGGAATTCATTTTTATACATCCTATACGAAATTTAACTCGTCTAATATAAAAAGCGTTCGAGCATGGTCTGATTCTCTTAGCTGAATGATTTCAACGTGAAACTCAATTTTAACTAGTATCACTCTTCTTTCTTATTTTTGTGGACATGAATAGAGATATTGTAAGCCGTTGAGTTGATCAATGGCTGTGGTCCGAAGTTTTCAACAAGTCTTTTAAAAATTTTCTCGGTTCTGAGAGATTTTGAAATGAAAATGATAGAAAATGCTAACTGACAAAAACCTAGACAAGGTATATTAAAAAGAATCTGATTTTAGGCTAATTTAAACTAGATCATCCATTTATAATCGATTTTAAACACGATAGTCCCAAATTTCGTATTTTTCAAGTTCTTAGTTCATCTCTTTAAAAAACTATTTCAATACTTTTTTTGATAAAGTTTTATTGAAGAAAAAAATCATTCAATATACAGTGTAAGTATAGAAAAAATGGCTCACATTGTAGTATGTATGTAAATTTAAGTTTCCTAGTCAAATTGGGTACAGGACAAATATATGTAAAAACAGTGATTGTTTAGAAGTGCGTCTATATTTCGATTGATTCGAACTACTTAGTCAATTGCCATATTATGTTTCTATGTACGTTGTCAGTATATTATAAAACAATAGTTCTTTTCATAAACTGATTTGTGAACATTTCTAAAATATGAACTGCATCTAAGTAATTCCACATTGAAATGATGTGTTGTTTTTTTCCACATAAAACTGATACGTCATATTAATCTGAATACATACGATGGACCAATCTTAATATAAACTAAATGTTTTCCTGTTAATTCATCAGATTTCACATTGTCAATCAGAAATCGTACTCACGATCGTAAGAGGATTTTATCTTCACTCACATAATATGTATTTATCATTAGATTTGCGAATTGATCATTTGACAAATAACATTGTAATTCACTGATGTACAAAATATTACATCCGAAACTTTCAGCTCCAGCTCGATTAAGTGATGTTGAAATAAATGGAAGTCATTTAAGAGGGCCTCTCAGAAACCAACTTTGTTATTTTTCATTTGATTTCCACCAAAATTTCACAGAATGTTATCTAGGCTAGGATAGATTATGGTTAAAATATCTTCCCAAATCTCCAATAAATTAATGAGTTATAGTCAATTTATTGGTCAAAAGTACTCTGCACGCGGGCAAGGATTTCACAATAAGGATACGAGTTAACAAGCTCGAGCGTTTTTCAAGTTGTAGAGTATCCTTAGTGCTAGATCCTCACAGGGTCGGATTTTTCAATTACCATTTGTTTGTTTTTTAAAAATCCTTTTTCGTAAAATTCACAAAATCATGCCCAAAAAATTGCTACTAAAAGATAAAATATCTAAGTTTTTTATTTCACCAACAGAAGAATTCAAAAATCGAATCTTGAGAGGATCCAACCCTAGCTGTCTACTATGCATTAAAAAAAATCATCACTTCTATATTGAGTCATTATGAAGAAAACCTTGCCCGGGAAAACGGTATCTTCAAAAAAATTGATTTTGAGAAAAATGAAAAAGAACTTTTTGAAAACCTAGGTTTCTGAGTATAATGGTTTAAGAAATCCGTGCAATTTTCTTAGAACTCATTATAAAGTCTATAAACTATAGTGCAGTCGAGAGTACACTCTTTGCTCTAACTGGCCTGCTATGAATCACAAAATCGATAAAATTGGACAAAATTGACTTTTTTGAGAGGAGGGCCCCCTTAAGCAAGGTCCGAAACGATCGTCGTAAGGTGCTTGGAATTATCTTTGAAAACTCCCACATCCTCACCCTCTTTCACTTATTTTGTAACGCTCTTATGATGAAAGAACATGAAAATTTTTTCGTATTCTCGGAATTGTTGTGTGCGACGTGCGCATCAATTGCGTTGATTCATCTGCATCTTTGCGTCATTCCTCCTACTTTTTCTTGTGAAAGAAAGCTCCAATGAAAAGGGTAGTATTATGCAATCACCCCGTGTAAAGAAAAGTATCGATATAATTACCCATTCTGTGTACATTCTCATACGTACGTTTTTGTGCTGAACATGTCGCTAGCGAAGGCGTTTCGGAGACGCTGTCAAGTCGTAAAAACAGCGTTACGCAGAAAATGTCATCGTCGGAGAACCAATACAACTGCTGAAAAATGTATTAGTCTCAAGCACGAACAGACCGATATGCTCTACGTTCAGTCGGCAAGAATCCCAACGGTAAGCTACAAACTACAAAAGCCACACCAAAAGTTTTCTAATACGAATGCAGAATGTTCGTTAGGATCGCAAGTTGTAACAGCCCTTGGATCTTTACTTACTGAAAACCTCGTAAATCCAGTGTGTAATATTATTGAGCAATACATAATGGCATTACTTTATCTGTTTTTGTTGCTTTCGTTCTTTATTTTGTGCTGCTCTATCACACAAGCTTGTCGAAAAAATATTCTTCTCATTTTCATACTTTGGATTGTCGTCACACTATTCCGAATAAAATAATTTGCTCGGTATTTATGCATGTGATTTGAATACTTTGTTCTGCAGTCCTTCTTTCATCTTCACAGTCTAAATTCAGACAAGCTGTTGTCTTCACTGAGTACTGAATGCGAAAACCTTTCATGTCAGTAGGAAGTGTCTTGCGGATGGCCGTACATATAATTTTAACCCTCTCACAGACTTCAGAAGAGTTTGCATATGTAGAGGGGATTTTGCATTAACCGTTTTTGACGGTGGCCAGAAGCGACGCACTTGTCTAACTATGATTAAGAATTCTAGTCACGCATAGCAGGCCGTCTTTCTGGACACTAGCCTATATAAACGACACCTTTGCAAGTGACGCTTGATCTCTCGGACGATTTGTGTTTGAACATATGAATAATATTATTCATGGTAGTAATGGCTTCATTGTCTTATATTGCATGCAAAGTACTGCTACCTAGAAGCAGGACGAGTCTTACTCTGCCTGTCAAGTGATCACATGTGATTGGTGCCTATCCATTAGATGAACTAATCTTGAGGGTGAGGGTGAGGGTGAGGGGTGAGGGTGGCGGTGAGGTGAGGATGAGAGTGTATGAGAGTGATGGTGAGGATGAAGAAGTCTTTATATAATTTCAGCACTTTTCTAGTTGGTTTTTGATTGCTGGTACTTTTGAGGAAAAGCCGTAGGAAAGATAATATCACAAGAGCAAGTGTTTCGGGAGTGACTGTTCCGAGAGCAAATGTCCTTGGGGAGCAAATGTGTGAGGAGCAACGGTCGCGGAAGCATCTGTCTGTGGCGTATCATTCATGGATTCTTTCCGGCCACCCTTAGCAGAGAGATATGTGCTGATGTGTGTAATAAGGATTTCCATGGCAACCTCAATAAGAGAGATGTGAGTGTAGATGTATATTGATGCGAAATCCCGAAAATTCTAGCCAAAAATATCAATTCAAACGACTTTTTTCCTCACAGAGGTTTTATCTTCAAGTTGAAATAAATCCCCAAGACGTGTTCTCCAATTGTGAAGACCTATTTTCAAACGGTGTTAGTCTTCGCGGACAATATTTTTCGAAGATGTTTCGAGATATCGTATAAGTGCACATATACAGATGCATCATTCCCTAAGGGTGAGGGTGCTGCGGAAATCTATATCACATACACTTTAGCACGTATCTCTCTACTGAGGGTGTTC